TTGAAGGTGGGAGATGGTTTCATTTGCTGGAAACTTTCTTCTCCTTTTGTTTTTTGTTTTTTGGTTGGTTTGGTTTTTTTTGGTGTAACGCTGGCAGCAAAGCAAAGCTTACAAAAGCCCTGAGCTCAGGAGCACGGTGAGCGGGGATTTGTGTGACCATTGCTAAGCTTTCAGAACATCCTCCTTAGTAACTACAGCCAAGGCGCTGGGACAGCGGGGTGAGAGTTTCTGTCGGGAATACAGCAGGGACGAGCCATGGCAGGGAGCGGAAGGAACGAAATGTGGTAGGGGAGAGGTAGCCTTCGGGTACTTGTGCTGTGGAAAGGGCTCTTGAAGAGCTGCCTTCACACCCAGCTGATCCAGAGGTAGCTTTGAGTTGAGTTTTTGCTGAAACAGACCCCACCGCAGCTCCGATGTTAACCTAAGTAGTGGCGAAGTTGCAGGGCACACGGCAGCTGTGGTGCTTTGTTCCAGAGGAGGGGTCGGCGCTACTGTGAAGTGGCCGATTTGGGCCAGAAATGGGGTCTGGGAAAATAGGCAGTGAGTTGTCTTGCAGCGGTTGGGAGCCTCAGGCAGCAAAATGACTGTTTCATCTTGTTGGGGGAGCCTCCTCCTCCTCCTTTGGTATCTGTAACTTCTGAGCTTGTGTGGGCTGAGGAGGTGTAGCTGCCTCCTTCTGAATTTGGGAGGGACAGGGAAAGGGAGCGATTCTCAAACGGAGAGTGATCACTGAGGTTAGTTTTTAAAAACAAAAATGAGAAGTGACATAGATTAGGTCAAAATGCACAGCTAATGTGCTCCTGAAGTACGGAGCTGTCAGTCAAGCCATTACAGGGTCCTAATTGCACATACCTTGAAAGGTACCAGGCTGAACACGTTGAAGTTGAAATTCCCGACGTGGCAGAACTGTGCATGCAGCCCACTGCAGTGAGAACCGTGCACCTTGATGGGTAACTCACCTCGACTCTAACGGGTACAGTCTGCACTGGGGGCTTGCGACAGGCACCGGCTGGCGACGTAGCACAGCGCGTGACAGAAATGCCAGATCCACAGTACTGTTGTGCTAAGATCTACCGATTAAGGGAAAGCTGTTGGAGGACTAGAAAAGGATTGTTATGCTCACTTCATCCTTAATTTCCCTTGCTGGTGTTTAACCAAGTGAATAAAAAATGGTGGCTGCCACGTGGAAGAGGGTGCGGTGTTACCTGTGCCTAAGCCTCCCTACTGGTCCTGTCCAGAGCAGGAGGCTGGGACCGGAGGCCAGCTGGGCAGGTCGCCTGAGTGCAGGTGTGCCAAAACGTGGAACTGGGCTGGCTCCAGAACAAGTGCAAGCACTGGAAGTGTCATCTTGGTTTGATGCTTTGGGCTGTAGTGAGGGAGGATACTGCAAAATCTCAGCACAGTATTAATTCTGCACCTAGGCAGAGGTATACTGATCAGAAGGGGGGTTTAGTTAATATATCCAGCATTACCAAAATAGTGTTACCAGCGAGTTTAGAATAACAGGGGTACAATTACAAAGCCAGCATTTCTAAGGAAGAAAAAAACCAAAACTCTAGTGCCTTTTTCTGTGGAGCTTGTGATGTTATGTCCCTTCAAAAAAGGTAAGGGCTATATCCTCTTGGATGTAAGACTTTGTTTGGCTTACCTGCAAGTGGCTTGTTGTGGAATACTCGAGACAAAACTGTCTCTCCTTGGCAGCAGTGGAACTAACTGCAATGTGCTGAGTAGCTTTAAGAACCACTTCCATCCTATATGCACGTACAAACAGCACACAAGTTCATAAGGTATAAACCCTTGGTTATTTTCTCTGTCCTGCTCCTGTGGAAAGGAAGCTCAGCCTTTCTGGTGTTCTAGTTATGCAATTTGGTTCTTCCTGTAACTCGTTACCTAACTGCCATCACACACCATTACTGATAGCGTACTGGAGCCTCAACTCTGCATGTAGCTGGGAGTTTAGAAGAATTGGGTTTTTTTAATTATTTTTTTTTTTTTCTCAAATTGTGATTTTTATATTTCTACACTGTTTTGGCACATCTAAGTCTAACTGAAGCAATAGTCGAAAGCCCATCTGAACAATGACTTAAAAAAAAAAATCTAGGCACCAATGAGTCATTTAAATGTTGAAGTGAATTCTGCATTTACACTTTATAGTTTCTTAATTCCTCAGCCCCTCCAAAATGTTTTTTTTTTTTGGTGCTAGACGTAACTTATTGAACATCAAAATGAATGTAAAATAAAAGTATTTTTAATGTATGAAATATGGATATCAATATTTATTTTATACTTGCAAGCAAATTCAAGGTGGTAAATGTTTGCTTTAGCAAATACTAGTCCCTTGGAAAGGGCTTCCCTAGAAGCAATGTCTCACTGTCAGCTATGCTTTTAATTTTAAAGGTGACTTGCACTAGAGGATGCTGCTGTTCCATATTTTCACATGGAACTGGTTTAGTCTAAGCATTCCTTTGTTATGAGCTGCTGTTTGTTTGTTTGTTTGTTTGTTTGTTTGTTTTTAATGTGAGATGCAGTTATGTTAATCCAGCAACTTGCTAGCGCTATGCTGCTTCTCTTCTGTGGTGAAGGGGCTGAGAAAAAACATGGCAAAGAGCTCTTCAACTTGTATCTTGTGTTGCTCTGGCAGTGCTTCCTGTACTGTACAAATAACCTAGCCCTCATGTTGCTAATGAAAAGGTGTTTTATATGCTTAATGCTCTTGACTTTTCTAATTAAAGATATTACTAATGATAGTATCTGTCCTAACAGCGTTGATGTAAGCCTATGAAAAAGTGATACTCCATAAGCTGTTCAAAATACTGATCTGCTGCTACTGATAGAGGCAGCAGTAAGTCTGTTTTAATGCTGTATGTCTACTTCAATCAGTCCAGTCCCAGTGATGTTTTACAGTAATATTTGCTCGCTAGGTAACAAGGGAGCATTAATCTCCACGCTGTGTGTGCTACCCAGTGCAGAAGGGCTTGTTACAGAGCGTTCTGGCTACAGGCCCTCCTGCCCTATGTTCCGTGGCAGTCCCAGCAAGCATTAAGAACAGCGTTAGTAGGTTTGCACGAGTCTTTGACCATAAACTGCCTTGTAAATCACACCAACTAAGCGCTCTGCCATTATTCTCTTGTGCTGCGGCTGCATCAAATTCCTTTGCAACTGTAACAGACTTCATTAGCCTTTCGGTTGACTCTCTCTTCTTGCAAAATGTTTTTGCATGTGCCCCAGTTGCTCTTAAGTGATGACCCATTAAATACTGTGAAGGAAGGTACCTGGGGAGCATGTTCAGCTCGTCAGCTTCTTCCTTAAAGGGAATGTTGCACTCATTTGAGTAGTGTACTGGTGTAGCTGTGCCAGACACACAAATGCCTGTGCTGAAATCATGTAAAACCTAACTGATGTTGTGCACACTCAGCATTTTACTAGGTTTTTGCATTGTATATTGGTAAATAAACTTGTATTAAAGTTTCTTTCCATTATTGATTTAATGGTAACGTAGCTTGCGTAATGAGGCAAACGGCTTAATTCTTTGTAATAACAAACGGAGATGCATTTTAGCTAAATGATGATGGGTGAAGTGGTCTTTCTTTATGAGAGCTAAACCGGAGGTACTGGTGGTAGCTTTGTTGGCTGCTCTTATGCTTAAATTTCAGAATGACTCCCTCTGTTCCTTGATTTCTTCAGTGCTTCTTACTGTTGTATGGCAGAGTGCACGGGTGGTTTGAGCTGTCAGTAAAGACTGAAGCTCTTCATGCTGAAAGCCTCTCTGAAAGGGCAGGCCAAGGAAAAGGAAGCACTTAACTATCCTCAGTTATCAGCTTTAAAGACACTAGTTTTGAGTCTTGTGCTGAACTTTTAACAGTAACTTGTGTTTAAGAACACCCTGAATTAATTAACGTAGTCCAAAAAAGACAGTTTGTGTGAGGCTCATTAACAAAATCTTAATCTGCTAGGCAAGAAGCTGTCCCTTTAATTGCCCTACTGGAAAAAACTTATATACTAATGAAGTTACTATTACATTTAGTTTAGATCTGGAGGGGGCAGAACAACACATGACAGTTCTTAAAAGCTATATCAATCGACCCTGGTCCCTTTATATCAGTTGAGCGCAGGTTCCAAACAAAGCGCAACAAGACTATTTCTTCAATCCTGCTTCACACAGCTACAGTGTGCTCGAACCCAGATGGAAGGAAGTTACTTCCAAATTCAGCTTAAGCGTATGTAATTCCCTTTGTTTTTCTATAGTTTTACACTCAATCTTTGCATTTTCATCCCTGTACTTGATTAGTTTAAAAAAATTAACACTGTAGTTGCCTTCTCACATGCACTAAAAATTATTCTCTCTCTGCTGCCCAGTCAAAGCATTGATTTTCTTTCTTAGAGTTGAGAAAGAACAAATGAATCCATAAACATGACTAACTCCCGAACAGTAGTATGCACTTAGGTCGTTCCTAGTTAACTGCCTGATTTCCCGTGAGGCAAACCAGCACTGGAAAAAAGTCTTAAAGAACAAGTAATCACTTCTCACCCTGCGATTCTTCTCTAGTGTTCAGTAAGCTGTTGGCAACTCTGCATCCAAACCAAGAAAAATACTTAATACTTGACCTTAAGGTAAGAAGCTCCTTAATCCAAGACAACCAGAAACAAGGGTGAAAAATTCAGAAGTACTTACTGTTTACCAGGTCCTACTAACATGCATAAGTTTGAAGCTTCTGTCCCGTGTGTGAAATGTACGGGCTTTGAGGATACAAAACGACAGATGCTTTGTCACTTGTGTAATTTGCCAAGTTCCATCCACTGCTATCCAGGTGACCAGACAAATGTAGGACAAAGCATTCAGTTAATAATGTATTGGATTGGATTTTAGCCTGACGCTGCAGGACTGGGAGCAGCATGTGGAGTTAGACAGGGCACGAGCTGCGTATGGGAAAAGTTCTGTTGCAACTTAAGATCCAAGCTGAGTAAGTGCAAGAAATGAAGATGAAACTAAGTTCACGTTTGTTTGAGCCGCTTACATGCAATTATTTATGTAATTCTAAAAGACAGCATATACTAAACTCTCAGCTACTTGCTTCTTTGGGTATTCTGGCTTTCAGCAGGGTTGTAACTACAGTTTGCATAACAAACTGTTTGTAAAGCTTGGAAGTTACAAGACTATATCAAAATTGTTTAAACCAATTTATACAATATTAAATTAAAAATCCAGAGATAGGATAAATTCTATTGGTTCTTCAATGCCATACAAGTATTAGATGCTTTTCTTGAGTCATCAATACTACAGAACAAAAAGGGTTGAACAATGACAAAAGATGTCTACTCTCCATTGCCTTTTATTTACAGGTCAGAACTCACAAAGGTTTTACTTTCAGTTGTTGAGAGAGATTATTTCTGAATAGACAAAAAACAGTATTTATCACATCAGTGTGTAAAAGCTGATGGATGCTTGCAGAAAACGGGTTATTTGTACTACTTCACCCACTTCTGCAATGTTAGATTCTACAAAACAAAAGGAAGTGTTTGAACCACTATTTGGATTTTCAATCTACACATGGTGATAAACGTGAGATTGCAGAATTCTTGTGTGCATATCAGTCCTTTCAATTTAATGTACCTTCGGTAGCAGTAGTTGCAAAAAAAAAGTTATCTAATCTAAAGCATTAGAGGGCTTAATGGCTCTTGTATTTCACACTTAAGAGTGCTTATGGAACAGTGATGTTGAAGGCCACTAAGCAGGAGAATTTCATCGGTTGCTTCCTTTTCACTGGGAGACCTCAACCAATTCATTTAGACCTCTCAGGGGGCAGAGGAATGAGGAAAGCATGGTGTAAGAGAAAAACCATCCAGCTCTTTAATAGTTGTATGGCATTTTAAATTCTCAGATTAAGCAGCTAAGCGTCTTTCACAACACCCACCAAGGCAGGCCGCAGTGTACGCCCGTGCAGCTTATAGCCAATCTTGGATACTAATGCAATAGTGCCAGGCTCCTTCCCTTCCATGGGAGCATGGAACAACGCTTCGTGTTCATAGGGATCGAACTTGGCTCCGACAGGATTCAGTCTGAGCAGGCCATGTTTTTTAAACACTTTTTGAATCTGTACTTCTGTCATAACAAGACCTTCATATAAGCTCTTCAAGTGAGGATTTTCGTCCTTAATTTCTTCTTTCGGAACACTTTCGGTTGCTTTCTCCAAAATGTCTGCAACTTCTAGTAAGTCCTTACAGAAGCTCTGAATCCCTAAAAAGAAATAAAAGACAAGGGAACGGTATTGGTCCACTGAGGGAAACAAGTGTTAAAAAAACCCTAAAGCCCAAACACAACCCCAAAACCGACTGCAATAATCTGTACTCTATTAGATTTTTAACAAGATATGCAATACTGTAACATTTGGGGTAAAACGTCCTTCCCAATTTTACTTGACGGTACAGAACTATTAAAGATACCTTGAGATCCACACCACCTCCTCTAGTTCTATGGAGAAAATGCATTTCAACTTAAAAGAGCTAAAGCTACGCCAGTGACCTGACATTAACAGTTAAAATTCTAACTGAAGTTACCAAAACCTTCAGATGGCTTAATGTAATGTCCCCATTCTCTCTCATCCTGGGATTCACCTAAAGTTCAAAGCATTATGTTGCCCTATTCCTGCCCTTTAATCTGATGTGCTAAAAGTATTTGCAGAAGAAAAAGCATGTAGTCAGACTGATGAGGAGTCCAAGAGATGAACAGGGATTTTTCCTTGAATGAAAACTCACACCTCTCCCTCCCGCTACAAACCACTTCTACAGGCTCAGAAGCTGTGCCTTGTGCAGACCGAGCAACTCCTAAGCTAACAACAGTCTGTGTCCTGAAGCTGTTCTTTGGCTCACACTAAAAGAATCTGGACTTATCTCACTTAAGGCAAACTGTCTCTAAATATCATGATGATTCAGTAGAATAACACATTTCTACGTAGAGGTAAGCCAAGGACAAACTGCACTCCATTTTGGTAGCCTTGTTCTTTTTTTTTTTTTTTTAAGCCACAGCCAGCATTTTAATTCTAGATCACATTTTAGATGTTTTTTTTTCTTTACCAAGAAGCAATATGAGCATTACCAGAGGACAAGTCTTTGGTTTAAACAAAAAAACCCCAAACAACTACGGAAGCATCTTGCAAGATCTATAGGGATCAGCCAGTTGTCAGGAAAGGGTCACTTTAACAACTGCACAACTCCGTAGAGACTTGAGCTCTTTATAGAACAGTAACTAACAGTGTCCAAGTAGTTCCAAAAATATGAACAAATGAATCAAGGTTTTAAGTTAAAACTAAAACTGTGGTTAGGGCTGAAGTGTCCCAAACATAGATTAACTAGCTGTCTAGTGATCTGGATCAAACCACATAACCAAACTCTTTCTTCAGAAGGTGGTTTGGTTTGGGGTTTTTTTGCGCAAGTTATCTCTGCAGATATCTGTGACTGCATCTCTGTGAATTTATGCAGGTCTCAGAATTTAGTTTATCTTCCTTTAATGGAAAAAGCAGTCAAATGATAAAACTTACAATCATGCAGATTATCTGTCATTTAGTTTTCACGAGAAATTTTATTTGAATATTTATTTCTATTGTAGCATCTCTGAGCTCAGACATGAAAGTCCTTCTGCACTAAGGAGCATATTAGTGAAACAACGTTTACTGAAAATCAACTTCAAGATGAAGCATTCAAACATCCATGAAAATGGTACAAGAATACTATGTAACTGAGAAATGCATTTTCTTACAATACACATTAACTGAAGACCCTGTCTTCAGAAATTAAAACTTCTGTATTCAGAATTAAACTGTACAGCTGTGTATAGTGTGTGGCAAAAAAGGCCAACTCATTTTTCAAGCCAGAGTGACAGTCAAACACTAAGATGATGCAGCACTCTTGTGCTGCAGTATTTGCATACAATTTCTGGTTTACAGATTTGGGTTTGAACTGTCAAAAAAGCTAAATCAGATGTCAGTAGCCTGGCTCTTGAAGAAAGATGTGCTTCTAGTACTCCTTGTAGCCAGTGACTGTACATTCCTACTACTGAAAAGAATCCACCTGTGTAAATGTATTACTTCTATTTGAAAGCTATGGCCTTCAACAGAACAGAAAAGTTATTCAAATATAAAAGGCTAAAAAAACCCAAACAAAAAAACAAAAAAGAACCAAACCCAAAACAAACACCAAGAACAAAAAAACCCAAACCAGAAGGAAAGCTAGTATTCCATGCTCTTCGTTCAGTTTTTTTGCAGTCAGTTCTGAGACCAAAGTGCGTGAAAAAGGCAAACTTCAGGCTGCAAACCTTACTGAAAAATTTACTACTGCAGTACATATTGCAGGAAATCAGATACCAAATTTAAAGAAAATGTCAAGGTGTTGACTTTAGCAGTTTAAGTCTTGCCCTTGTCTAGTGAGATGATTACAGTTCTGATGCAAAGTGAGGAACTGTTCAAACATCTCTGCCTCAAATACATTTTTTAACCACGTAGTCAGAATCACTGGGAAGTACAAGTTGTCAAAACTGTGGGCCAGTCAGCTCAGTTTTCCAGGCTTTGTATTTCCTGGGTCTTATGAGTATACACAAAAGGAGCCTCCACTGACCGTATAACTTTGCCTCTTCTACCAGTTTCTGGCTTCTTTGCCTCACGTTTTCTGCATCCGCCAAGGCACGCTTGTACTTGTCCTAAAGAAGAAAAACCAGTAACAGAAGAGATTTCATTCCTGGTGGTTGGGTAGTTGACAATAATTCAAAACAGCATATTCAGTATAAAACAGCATTTTAAACAGTTACATAGCCTAAACCCACCATCTAAACAGTAATCTGAAGACAACGTGCCAATTATCACAGCATCCTTCCTACCAAGGCAGATGTTTGCTTCACTTTAGTACAGACAGAAGTGAGGGAAAGGAAATAAGATGGGTTTCCAGACTCTCAATATTTGTCAACAGATTAGCTAGAAGAAATCTTTAACTCTACGGATATATCAAGTTTTATGAATCAAAGATTTCTGCTTTTTCTGATGTGTGTTCACAGAAAGCCTTCATCACTCATAAGGTATTTTGACACTATGGCAAACGAAATTGAACCCAGCCATGACTTTCAAACCAGCTCTTCCCTCTCCATACAAACCACAGAGTGTCCTCCAGTTTTTTCAAACTTCAAAAACTATGACATCTAACTCCTCTTACTCAGGTTAAGTTGTGGTCTGTTCCTAGCCATATGGCCATCTAGCAGCAGATGTACTAAGAATGAAATTCAATAAACTTAGGCACTTCAGGTTGAGTGCTTCACCACCTAACCCAGAACTCCATGCTGGGCTTCCACTCTGACTATGCTGGACCTCCGTGTGCTAGTGAAGAATCTCAAAACAGAATAAAAATAGTCAATGAGTTGACTGAAGAGCCACGCTAGGTAGCCAATAGCAAATGCTGTCAACAGAGATGTTAAATGACATCTCAGCTTTGTCCTTCAGTGCTTTGGGAAGGGCAACAGAAAGGAAACTCAGCCCACTTATTATCCAGAGGTGCTGCTTCTATAGAAGGTTCTGGGCTACCTCTCAAATTCTCAAATGCTCTAGAAAGACATTTTATGTAAAGCACTCATCCAGAAAAGCAACGCCTTTGTTTAATCCACGCCTCCCACCTCTCAGGGCATCCTTCACCCTCTGCTGAAGTCACACACAGGAGAGAATGCAAGATACATTAGGCCAGACAGAGGGAATGTGACGCTTCAGCCTTGTGTTTGAAGGGCTCTCCAACAGACAGGGTTTGAAACTTCCTAAGTATGTAATAAGTACACTGTTATATAAAAGCTAAGCATCATTAACCCTGACCTTTGAAAAGTCAGCAGCTGTTTTCAGAAAGCGTACTCTCAGCATGCACAAATACACACATCAAAGAGACACTCAAACCCTTCCATGGGCTTGCAAAAATTGTTTCTCCACTGAGCAAGACCTAAGTGAACTAAAGTCAGCGAAACTCAGTAACAAATTTGCAGGCTGGAAAAGGTCCAATTCCATCCAGAAATTGGAAAGAAACTATCCAACATCTTAATTTTGGACCAGGGATGCATCTCAGGTCTTGTAGTACATCTACTCTTAAGTTTAAAGAAATAGCAGATTTTTACTCAACAACTGTATCCAGACTGTGCTCCGAGAACCTATAATGAACGCTCTTAGGTATTCAGTTTGTAAGGTATGCAACCTGATGACCAGAAGACACTTACAGTAACTTCTTTTAGTTGTTCTTCCAGTTTGGCCTTTTCTTCAGTTAACAGTTTTTCAGCAGAGCTGGGTTCAACCTTCTGCTCATTTTGGCTCTGACTCTGGTCCTCTTCCAAGTTCTGGCCAGTATTTTTCTGTTGTGTTGCTACACAAAGCAGTCGTGGAGAAGTCCTAAGGCAATAACATGTGGACAATATTAATCAATTGCTTACTTTATAAGATATTAGCATTTGCTGGACATACTGGACACTTTATTTGATACGTCAATGTCTACAAAATTCTCACATTAAAGCGCAAATACATACAACAAGTCTAGGTCTGTGAAAACTGCTTGCAGAACCTTTCATCAGAAGTAACTGAACTTAGTCCGTCTAAACTGTTGCAAAAAAGAACTTTGCTGTAATGTAACAACCGCTGGACAGCAGCTTGTAAGTGTCCATTATATTCAGTTTATAAAGCCTCAGTGCTTTTAAGTGGAATAGGAGCACAGTATTCTATGAGGAAGCAAATCCAGTTTATGTGATGCAATCACCTGCAACAGTCTCTCAGAAAGCACACCAATGCGAACAGTGGTTTGCCGCTGACTGCTAGAGAGCAACGGAAAGGCACCTTCTGTCACTGCTGTCTCTCATTGCTATATCGCAAATACCACGTCGAGAACGGGCCAGTCTCCATGAAGATGACTATTCATCCCTTCCTAACGTTTCTTAGGCTGAACTGGCTGAGCTACCCGAGCAAACCGGTTCAGGGACGCGGCGGGTGAATCAGTGCCGCAACGACAAAAAGCGGGATCCCTGCAGGCCACATCAAGACGTCAGGCCTGGCGGCCTTCATACTCGAGACCGGGCCAGGAGGGCCCCGCAACGCCTGGCCGGGCCGCTCTCCCGGGGGCGGGTAAGGGAAGCCAGCGAAGGGCGGCGGGGATGGGGGCCGGCACCAGCCCGTCCCGGCTGTAGGAAGGGGCTCCCCGGCGCAGAGCCGGAGGGCGGGAGCTCGGGGGGTGAAGCAGCCCAGCGCGGCGGGGCTGGGCCCCGCTCTCCTCCTGGCCCGGCCCGGCCGGGCGATGGCGAGGCGGTGAGTGCGGACCCGGAGGCAGACCCGCCCCGAGGCGCCCGATGGAGGCCAGGCGGCGCGGCGCGACCCGCACCTCCGGCGGAAGCTCAACAGCCCTCCCGCCCCCCCGCCCGCCCCACCCCGCCCCTCCGGGCCTCCGCCAGGCCGCCGCCAATCAGCGGGCGGGCAGGTTAAGAGTGACGCGGCCGAGAACCAATCCACAAGGCGCATGCCCGCCTCAGGCCAAACAGGCGAGGCGGGAGGTGGAGCCTGCAGCTCTTCCGGGGCGCTGCGGAGAGCTCTCCTCGCCCCGCCTCCTGGGGGAAGGGGACGCGCGGCGGGCGTGGCCGCGGGCGGGGCTCGCGCCCCGAGGGCCATTTTGTCCTGTGAGGGAGGCGGCGGGCGGGCTTGTGTTTGCCTTGAGCGGGTCGCCGCCGGGTCCTTGCTACCCCTCCGCCGGCTGGCAGAGCGTAATGTCGGGAACGAGAGCCTGCGGGAGTTAGCAGGGCACTGGCCAAGGGCAGGCGTTGGTATTTTCCTGTCAAAACTGGTCAACGCAAGCTGGAGGCAGGATGGTGGCCGCAGGTGGTCCAGTCTAATGATCCACATCTTTCCTGTGCAAGCTGTCACTGAGAAAGTTTGAAGATTGCAGCTCACTTTTTTTTTTAACTGCTGAATAACCTTGTTATCAGTAATACCTTGTAGCATCTGTCAATAGTTTGTCTGCAAACCTCCACATAGAGGTCTTCGTCGCGTGTGTCTGTACATGCTCGCCATAACTGCTGTATGCACTCTTGCTGGCTAATCGTGATCTAAAATCTTGAGCTTTCATTAAAAGGGATAACGTAGCTAATCCACTGCTTCCAGATTTGGCCACCTGTTTGTGCAAGTGTCCCCTGTAACGGGAGGCTATGGAAACCCTGCTCGGTGATACTTCGATGACTTCTTAACTTTGGCGGTGGTGTCAATTAGTTTCTCATTATTCTGTTAAAAGGTGAAAAAAAAAGTCAAGGTCACACATTTATCATACAGTCCTGAAGTGAATGCTAGATTATTCACAGATGCTTGAACACCAGCTGTTAACCTGATTTTTGTAAGCATTTGTGCACTTTCCAAATGAAATCTGAAGGATGGAGAAGATGCAGATTCCATAATGCAAATTCCGTAAATGTTATATTCAAGTGTATAATTAAAGTATTACTAAAAAAGAAGCTGCAGAAGATGTTTCTGGCTTGCCGTGTGAGAATCGCACAGAAGTTAGGACCTTGCGAAGTTCAATCACACTTTGGCAGAGTGCACTAAGTTTTCAGCATGGCCTTTATTTGGCAGGTTTGCTTGTCTATGATGCGTTGCGTCACGGCCTCTGCAGAAAGCAGGATAAACGGTATAACGAGGCCAGTGGCCTCATACTGTAACAACTGTTAGATCCCAAGCAGTCTCGCTGCCTCTTACAGTTACATGGATGTGGGTTTCTCCTGCCATGAGAAGATTTGGAAGAGCTAGAAACATACCAATAAACACTCTTGTGTGACAACAGGCGACAGCTCTAAGATAAGAGCCAAATGGTTTTGCAGTCCGTCGTTTTTATATTTTGGTGATCACTGTTTTGTCACGTGACACTGGTACAGTCCAACGGCTTGCCTATACAGAACACAGCAAAGAAAAAGAGTGTATGCCATGTGCTGTCCATGCATGGAGTGGCTGTAGTGCTGTGAGTATTTGCTTTCTGGAAAGTTGATAAGCCACAAATTCCAAGATTCATCCTCAGAAATACTGAAAGAAGTAGAGGAAATGTGTTAAAGATGCTGATAATGCTGAGGAAGGATTAGAGAGAACAAGGAGGAAAATAGGAATAGCCATAAAGGATGATATCCACAGAAAGCCGTGAGGAAATGAGACAGAGAAAGTGGATCTTTAGGTCTGGTGTTTCTAAAATGTTTCCTGGAAAGGTTATTGGTTCTTTACAAAACCTAGGCAAGCAATCTGCCTGTCTCATCTTTCTTGTCTGTTGTTTTTCCCTGACATCCTTAGCATGTCGCCTCCTATTTCAGCCTTTCTTCATTCTCTGCTGCCTGCCATCTCTGGAAGTTGTGCTTGATTAATGATTGATCACAAAATCACAGAACTGATAACAAAAGGTTGAGAAAAACCCATTGCCAGCATGTCTCATTAATAACCGAGTAAAATATATTGGACTCAAGATTTCTGAAACAAGTTCCTTCTTGTACTTGGACCCATTTACCCCAAATGACAGTTCATAGGCCTTTTGCAAGCAAGTTTTCAAATATAAAATGAATTTTGTTGTGATTTCTCTCAACTTGAACAGCTGTCGAGAAAAATCCACAGCTAGCACAGGTACTGATGAGTGAAGACTAAACACCATGTGCAGCACGAAAGAAGAGCATGCAAGTTCATGTGGAGCTTGTTTGCATCGTGACTGATGTTCGCTGTAAGTACTGTCGCACTGACAAAAAAAAAAAAAAAACCACCCAAACTTTTTCATGCTTTGTTCCGATTTACACTACTGCAGTCCGTTCTGGTTTAATTGTAGTGCCACCTAGTGGGTTGGTTTGGGTTTTTTTTTTACCCTCAACTAATGAGTATTCAGGACCTGTTGCTTGACCTGGTTGGCAGTCACAGATGTTCAGTAACAAGCATAGTTTTGTTCTTGAGCAGTCCTCTCCATATCAAGCGGTCTTTTGCTCTTCACATAAATACCAGGTGTGAATGTGATTTGATGATAAGTAATGCTTATCCTGAATTCTAAAACGTTAACAAGCTGCTGCTTTTCAACTTGATGCGGTTAAAAGTGACTCTGACCTCTAATTTCTGTGGACTAGTGATAGAATCAGGTAGTCTGGATATAATTCCCAGCTCCTCTAGTGATTCACTTTGTGGTCTTGTGCAGTTATTTAACCTCATATCCACATTTCTACAACTACAAATTAAGGGCAGTAATCTTTCAGTACCTTACAAGACAGTTGTTTAGAGAGCATGAGGGAATTTCTGTGATATTTTGAAAATTCAAAATATCAACTGAATGATAAGTCTCTTTTTTATTATTAACATTGCACTTGTGGTAAAGAGACTTGTAATCCTTCGAGATGAATAATGCCATAAATGCAAGATTTGTGCCTAAAAAGTTAAATGAAAAATTAAGGCATTTCCGTTTCTCTAAAAAAAGAAAAAATCTAGTTCTGTCTCCTAATGCTAAGATATAGTCTATTGATATTCAGCCAGCAAACAGAATGCCATTACATTTGTGTTTCAAATAGGAATTGTATTATTAATGTTTTGAGGGTAAAAGCAAAAGGTTATCATCATATCTTCTCTGATCAGATATGTAATATGTCATCCTAACCAGAATCAAATATTGAGCTATGGTGGGAGCAAGTGGAAAAACAAAATACCAAAAAATATCCTTGTAAATGTTCTAGCAGTGACCTTTCAGGCCAGTTACCAGGAAATACTTAAATCAAATTAAAAGATGTTAATTTAGCTGTAAGACTGTTACTGAACTATTCAGACAAACTTGTTATTCATACCTGTGCCCTTTAGGAAAAATTACAGATGAGACCACTTAGCCGTAGTATTCCGTAGTTCATTGTGTGAAGATGTCTAGTGTAAAATTAAGGGACTGATCCTTGTGTATAAAATAATAAAAAATTTTCCTCTATAAGGATTATTGAGACTGCAGATCAGCTACACCCTGGATCCATTTCAGACAGAGGACAATAAAGATTCAATCATTACTTGAATCCAGAAACTTTAAATCCTGAAATGCAGGTTGGGGGGGGAGTTAACCTTACTTTCTTTTAATTAGAGCAGTACTGAGATGGTTAATCTGTACGTTCAGAATTTATTATTTTTAATGCAAACATTTTAAGAAATTTCTCCCAAGAGAGAATATGTAATACCTACTTTCTGCCTAGTTTCTCCTTAGGCTGAAAATACAGAATCATACATCTTGCTCTGATTATAACGAGTACTCTTTGAGTTCCCACAGCTTTTTGCTAACTAGTTTGAAAGGTACATTTTGTAACTATCTTGTTGCCTGGAGAATGTTGTCGCTGTGTTGGAAATGTAATAGCTATACCCACAGGACTCTGAAGAGAGCTAATTAGAACAATTCAGAATAGCAAAAGTTCTATTCCTGGGAGGACACTGAAGAGATCCTTCCCTAAAGCAGCATGCCACAATTTCAGAGAAAATTTATTGTAATATTCCTGCATAAGTCATCTGGTATCCCAAGGATTTGCAAATCTGGCTATCTATTACGGTTTGTTTTCTTAGCCCTTGTGTTATCAGGGACACTCGTGTATGTCTTGTAACGTTCCTGGAGATATAAAAATGGAAAAACTCTGTCAATCAAGCATTGTCTGTCTTACTTTAGTCTAGTTGCCAGTCAGAACCAAGTTGTTCAAATGCACAGAAACAATCTTCTATCATGCTGATGTGGCTTTCCACCTTGAGACAAATTTATTGAGCTTTCAGAGAAGAGTTTTCAAATCAATTGTGATTCTCTAAGTGTGGTGTCATGAATTTTCTTAATATTTTTCTTAAAAATAAATTGCTGCCT